GGACCACCCAGCTTGACAAAATGCTCTTGGGAGCCATAAACTGTGAGAAGATGAGGGGAGATGGGGGCTTCCCTAAGTCTCATGCTCTGAAGGTCTTGCTGAGTTTGGTGGTGGTTTAGTCACTAAGTTGTGTCCGACTCTTGCAACCCCCTGGACTGTAGCCTGCCAGGCTCCTCTGTCCATGGGACTTCCCAGGTAAGAACACTGGAATAGGGCCATGCCTTCCTCTAGGGGATCTTTCCAACCCAGGTATCAACCTGGGTTTCCTGCATTGCAGGCAGATTCTTTACCAAATGAGCCACCAGGGAAACCCAAGTTTAAGCTGAGTTTGTTTATATGAAAACAAGAGCATTAACTTACCCATCAAAAGTTAGCCATCTGGCCCAACACCATTTATTAAATAGTTTGTGCTTTCTCTAAGGATTTAAAATATCCCTCCACCGTAAATCTGATCTGTATTTCAGTCTGTCTTGACAATCTTTTCTCCTTTGCCTTTCATGACATTGCCTGCTCAAGGATGCCTCCCATCTCTGACAATTCTTTTCAAGCCCCCTCTGTCCCTCCCTTGAGCATGGTTCTTCAGGGTTCTTTCTCCTGGAGGCTTGCCCTGGGAGGGAGCTCCTGATTTTAGTTCTTTGCTGATGAAATGCAAATTCTGGGCTGCAACCAGGCTTGTGCAGGTCGGTCCCAGAAAAACAAGGTCAGGCCAAGGGGCAATTAGGGGTGAAATCCATCCTGCTCTCTGCCCAGCATGCTGTGCACCCACAAGACTCCCCAGAGTCACATCGTTAGCCCAGATGACCCCTGAGTCATGACCCATTCATCCAACATGCGCCAGCCATCTCTCCCTGAATGTTCCCCGGGAACTGCACGCTCAACAGGGCTTCTTTCTTCCAAGGCCATTCCTCCCTCGAGTCCCCTGAGCACACAAGGCAGAAAAGGAACCTGTGCATTCTACCTTCCTGGACCTGCCACATCCCGCCTGACATACCCCACCTCCTCTTCTCTGGCCACAGCTGCTACTGTGGAGCTGACCTCATCACTTCTCATCGAGTCTGGGAGGTCTCTGCTCGCCATCCTCTGACCCCTCACTCTGCAGCAACAAGCAAGCCTTCCACACATTCTGAGATGTCAAGCCAGCACTCTGAATCCTTCCATGCCATGCCCCACAGGGCAAAGTCCCAATTCCTCCTTACCCAGAGGAGGTCTTTAGTGAATCAGACTCTCAAGTCCCTCTCTCTCTGCTCCAACACATCAGCCTTTCCCTGGCTGACACCACAGCTAGGAACACCTAAGTACCCTCGTCCTTTCAAAGATGGGTCTGATGCCCAGAAAAAGCTGGCGGCCCCCTTCCTCGAGTGCCCAGATTTCCATGCTAACACCTGCAACACTTATTGGTTTCCGGATTTCTCTGACTTCATCAGACCTTCCATCTTGAAGACGGCCTCTGCTCTGATTTTGTATCCCCATAGCCCAGCATAGCACAGCAGCCGGCTCTGTGACAATTCCCAGGCAGAAAAATCCTAAATGGATTTGAAAATAAGTAGATTAGCCAGAGCAAGGCAATACAAATGTAAATTGGGCTTTAAACTCCTTACAATTGTATGTGTTGTAAAAACAGGGACAGCATGTCTATTGTACCCCAGCACCCCCTGGGAAAGAAGCGATTAGGGATTACAGGGACTAGGAGAGCTTGGAGCAAAGGCAGACAGACAGGGAGGAGAGGGAAATGGTTCCTGACGGCTGAGCACAGGGGCTCTGCTTCCCTGGCGGTGGTGCCTGGCTCTGGCCTGAGTCACATGCCGGCAGAGATCCAAGAGCTGGGGCAGAGAGGTGGGTGCAGCCGGCTTGGCCGTGAGCAGACACAAATGCCTCCAGGAGTCAGGGGGTCAGATAAACGTAGGTGTGAGAAGACCAAGAGGCTGCTTTCAGCACCCTCCTGCAGCAAAGGAGGTCAGATTCAAAGCTTCACCAAGGAGTCTAGCAGCCAGACAAGACAGGGCTGAGGTCCCAGAGAGAATTAGAACGACATCTGGTCTTCCCAGTCCCTTAAAACTACAGAGCACAGCTTTTAACATGACCCTGAGGGTCCGCACGATCCCTCCAAACATGGCTAATGTGGTCATCATGTGTCCCATCTCAGCTGAAGGGTGCCTCCTCCTCCAGGAAGCCTCCCCTGACTTCCTGAGGTATCTCTGGGACACGTTCTCAAAACACCATGGACTCCTCCCCTTCACAACCCAAATATCGGTTCATTTAAAATCTGCTTCTGGGAATTCCCTGTCAGTCGAGGGAACTCAGGGCTTTCACTGCCGGGGCCCGGGTTCAATCCCCCCAGTCAGGGAATTAAGATCCTGCAAGTTGACAGCCAAAAAATAAAAATAAATTAAATAAAATCTGTTACTACTATAAGGAGATTAGCATTTCGAGAGTCAAGGCTGTTTTTTATTCTTTTTCTTTTGTTTTTTATTCTTATATCCCAGTATCCAACACTCTGCTTGGAACATATGTGAGGCCCAATACATGCTTGTTGCATGAACAATTCAATCAACCACACAAATGAAGAATGAATTAAATAACGAATGAATAAAACTGGCATGTGTCTAGTGCATTGCAGGATGTTTTTCAGCATCTGTAGCCTCTACTCACTAGATGCCAGGACATTCCCCAGCTGGAACAATCAAAATTCTTTCCAGACTTGCTCTCTGGGGAACAAAACTGTCCCTATTGAGAGCCCCTGTTTTCCTGAATTGTTGAGTAGGTTAAATAAAATTATTTATGGCTAATTTAACACATTTTGACACGTAATATGTACACAATAAATGTAATTATTGGATTACTGCGAGCATTTGGGAGAGAGTGGGGAAGGGTGAGCAGGACAGGTCATATTGGGAATGACAGAGAGCCCAGAGAGGTGTCACCAGCCAGTATGGCCTGTGGGCCAATATACGTTATGTCATCATACAGCTTGGGAACTCCTTAGCTAAGATCAGTTTTTACATTTTTATTTTATTTTTAAAAATTAATTAATTATTTTTTGGAGGCTAATTACTTTACAATGTTGTATTGGCTTTGTCATACATTGACATGAATCCACCACGGGTGTACGTGGGTTCCCCATCCTGAACGCCCCCTCCCACCTCCCTCCCCATCCCATCCCTTTGGGTCATCCCAGTTCTTACATTTTTAAATGGCTGAAAAAAAGAAGCCTATTTCATGACATGCAAATTATTGAAAATTCACATTTCAGGGTCTAAGTAAAGTTTTATCAGAACACAGCTGGCCCCATGGGTTTACCATCGTCTATGGCTACTTTCACATGACACTGGTAGAGTTGAGTAGCTGTGACATTGACCCCATGGGCCTCAGAGCCTAAAATATCTACCACCTGAACCATTAGAGAAAAAGTGTTTGACCCCTCGTTTAGAATCTCTTGCAACCACTATATTCCAGGACCCAGTGGCATGACATCTGGGCTTCAGAAAAAAGCTGTCTGTCCTGCCTGGTAATGTAAAATGGGACCTAACTATCCCCTTAATAAAGAGAGGGGTAGTTGAATGAGAGCATATATCAGCAGTGAATTGTTTGTTACACGGTTGTTTTTTAAAAATGAGTTGAGATTTTTAGAAAGCGACTTTTACCCCTCTGCCCCTTTGCAACAGGAGCCACTTCAGGACAAGGATGGAGCCAAATTCTTGATGATCTCAGGGTCATATGGTTCAATTTCTATATTTGAGAGATGGGGAACTGCACATAAACACACTCTCCTCCGAAACTTCAAAGTCTGATAGTCTGATAACGGTACAAAGCTGCTCACATGTTTATTTTGAGGAAGACTCTTTCTGATTAGAATGGTCAGAAGGAGTTCCACTTCCCTTTTTCTAGAAACCCCAGTTAAATCTTCCAGCTAGAACATCCCCTTGAGCGGAAGGCCAGGTTGCCAGGGGATATAAACAAACCAACCACCCCAAGTGGCAGTTTTCAGCTGCTTTCTCTGATGCTCCCTGGAAATAGCAGCTGGCTCTTCTCTCAGCAGGTCCCAACTGCAGGTTCATAAACATAAACCATATCCATGGTCCCGCCAGGTGGGAGGAGGTGGCCCTAAGTCAGGTAGGCACAGATGAAGGGAGTGAGGTGTCAACAGGTGGATTCAGGTAAGATTTCATATTCTGCCTTGGCACAGATTCCCATCAAATCTAATTTTCTGGGTTTCCATCCTCTCTGTTTTCTTGTAGCAACTGCCCTGGGGTTAAGAGACAGAGCTGATGGCTGGCTTTGCTCTGCCTGGCCCAAGATGACAACCTGTACATTGCTCTGCCCACCTGGTTATATAGGTCCTACTGCTTCTCCTTCTATGATCCTTCTTGCAGGTCATTCTACAGCAATGGACTAGGATCTTAGAGTCATTCTGAAGTCTCAGGATGCCCACAATTATTGGGACAAAGAGATGTGATCTTGACTAAGCTCAGAAATGCACGTGGACCTCTCTTACTGGTTAGAATAAACCCATAAGTAGCCCCAGCCTTTCCCAAAGAACACCCTAAGAAACACCTGCCAGTGAGATACTTCAGGGAAGAGTGCCATGTTGTGATGAAATCAGGAAAACCCCACTCTTGTAACCCCTGATTGGGTATCAATCAGCACATTCCAAGCTCCCAGAAAGCATGCAGTGGCTTAACCTGCTTAATTTGATTTAAACCAGCTGTGGACCACAGATCCTTACAAGATCCCAGTTTGGAAAATATGGTCCCAGACCATGAGGTTGGGTTCCACAAAGATGCTGGCTTCCAGAGATGACCCCCAACCTTGAAGGTCAGCCTTCCTCACTCCGGTTTGACCTCCTGCCACCCAGTCCTAGGGGAAGGAAAGATTTCCCGGCAGCCTCTGAGGGAAAGTTCGAAGAAAAGGTCTAAAGCCCGGGAGGTAGAGGAGAGAGGTGCCCCTCCAGACGGACAGGACCCCAGGGGCTGCTGTAGGAAGCTGCCCGGAGCAGGACTCACCATTGGTGGCCGTGTTGACATAGTAGCGCCGGCCCTGAGGGGACAAGTAGCTTTGCCAGCCTGGTGGAAGGACGACGGTCTGGCTTTCCTCTCCCGGCGGAGGGGGGACCATTCCAGGCTTCTGTGGAGGAGGAAAGAGAAGGTCACACACATGTGGCATTTTTGCAACTGTCTCTCAACCGGGAAGTGAGAGGCAGATGAAGTCTCCCTAGAATGGCTCGACTCTGGGTGGGGTGGGGAGTGGTATGGTGGCCTACAGGCCTCCCTGGGGGATGCAACAGGCTGCAGGTGTGATTATGAGGGTTGCCTGAGCATGAGGGGTGAGGAGCCCTTAGATTTTCAGAACCACTGCAGAAGGGACAGATCCCCCCAGAGGATGGTGGGTGGAGATGCTGATCAATGGCTGGGTTTTCTCTCCTGGGCCCCTAGGAAACCACTCTCAGGGATGCTTCACCTGCCTGGGGTTGGCATGGGGGGTCACTAGAATCTGAAACTCTGGGACCACCAAATACAACAGCAGACAAGGCCCAGGGACTGCTGTGGGAACTGACCAGAAGTCATTAACACACGTTTCGGCAGACTGAGATGTTAAACCTTCCATAATAAAGCATAGAATCAACAAAGATATAGCTGGGTTTTTTCTAGCCAAATGTCTAAATGGCAAACAGAACTGGGAAGCTGAGTTTAAACAGGCTTCTTCCTTTCCATAGTATGCACTGATGTGCAGTTTAATTCTTCTAACTAAGCACGACAGTACTTTTCTTTAAAAATAAATAAATATATAAAAAAGGTCAGAGAAAAAAGTACATAACAGAAAAACAAGAAAAGACACAAAAGCTAAACAGAGGTGATTTGTAGTGGTGGGATTATGAGGAATTGTTATTCTTTTCTTTTTGCTTATCTCGCGCATCTAAATTTTTGTTAATACATACACACCAAAAAAGTTGTGAGCTAAATAAAGAACATTGAAAAATAAGCAAAGAGAGTTCAAGTTAGCCCCTCAGACAATTGCTATTCCTTGTGAAGAAAGTAAATTGACTAAAATCAGAATTCCAGCCACATGAGGAGAGGTGCGGTGAATTTCTCAGCAAAGTTGGATCCTGTTCAGAAATATTAAAACTCATCAGCTTTTAAGTGCCCTCAGAATCCTCCGGCCATACCCGAAGAGGCAGGTTCCGGTCACTAATGACCACTGTTTGGGAAAATAAGAGACTGAAACTGAGCAGTAGAGACACTCATTTCCCAGACTGCTCTCAGCTTCTCTGAAGCTGCAAAGCCTCAGGCTTCTGCTTCCTGTGGTGCCCTGCACACCCTCAGCGGGATGGGATCAATCGTAGTTGCTCCTGGGACCTGGGGTAAACACAGCCTCCCCATGTCCCTCTGTGGAGCGGTGGTGTATGTTTCATTACAAATGTTCACAGTTTAATTAAAAGCCTTCCCCTATGCCCTGGTGGCTTCCGACTGCCACACCTGTTAACTCACAGCACCTCTGACTGCAGAAGACTGGCTTCTAGAAGAACCACCCAGGGCTGGACAGCCGCCAGGAGGCCTCCTCCTCAGCAGAAAACGTCCACTGAGCCCGAGCACACAGCTGTGGATGTTTACCTGGGTGTCCAGACACTGCTCCAGCTCCTCCCAGATTGGAAAGTGGTCAAAACACATGCAAACCCTATGATGAGTGTCGTGTTTTGTGTATAAAATATCCCACTTGCAGGAGATGGACATTTTGGCTGAGTGGAGGCGGGGGTAAAACCAGAGGAGGGAGGTCAGAGGGTTGGCTGAGGAGAGAAAGATTCTTTTGTGAGGGGGGCCACACCATGCAGCAGGCTGAACCCTGGCCAGGGATTGAACCCACATCCCCTGCATTGAAAGCACAGAGTCTTCAAAACTGGACCACAAGGGAAGTCCCAAGAGAGAAACCTTCTAGAACCACGTTGCTTCTGCTTGACCCCAGGTAACTTATAAGAATCCACGAAGGAAAGGCCAGACTGAAGCTTGTCTATGTTTAGTAAAACCTGGTAAAACAATGAGAGATTGTTAAGAGGTATCAGAGATGGACGTCGTCAGAAATACGATGCAGAGGAGAGACGGACCCAGAAGCACAGTGAAAACCAGTGCTCTGGTCTCTGGCTCACTCCGTCCTGACTCAGCCTCTTAGCAGCCACGTGACCTGGGGAAATGACTCAACCAGCTGTCTGTTGCCACATCTGTGAAATGCAGGGTGACAATATCAGCCACGTTGTGGAAGGTGCTATGGAAATTAATAACACACTAGCCACCAAGGACCGTGCCTGTCACCAGCTGTGCTCAATAAATGGGGGTTCCCAGAGGAAAGGGGAACCATGCAATGCTGACCAAGACCAACCTTCACAGAACCTCTGCCTCCTATGATGTGTAGTTCAGGGGGCATATACCTGGCCTCTGCCCCACCATCACCGCAGATGCAATGTCACCATTCACAGTCACTTCCCAGAGGTTTCTATTTCTAGGATTACTCAACTTAAAAGGTAAACACAGATCTGCAGGGGAGGCTGGCGGGTTAAGATGCTGACTCACACACTCTGGTGAGACGACCTCTCCCTCACTGGGCTGGTGGGGTGAGTCAACTGAACCTTCCGTGCCTCTGGGTCCCACCTGTGAAACAGCATCAGTGACGCCTGTCCTGTCTCCACAGCTGTGTGGTGCTGTTCTTTTTAGGACTAGTGAACACGCCTAACTCTGTAGGGTCAGAAGAAGCTCGAATTTCCATCTGAAGACACCGATGACCAAGGAGGGGCCATGACTGCTCTGAGGTCGCCCCCATGCAGGAGATGCAGGGCCCTCCAGAAGGTACCTGGGGGAGGCCTCCCGGATGCTGAGCCCAGAAGGTAGGGGTGCTGAAAGAGTGGAGGTGGTGCACCTGGGCCAACATGGCAAAGACTGTCTCCACCTCCCCTCCAACATGGCCACGGGGCCCCGTTCTGCACGCCATCTGGCTATGTTCTGCTTCCACCTCCCACCCGCAAGGCAGCCACAGTCCCCTTGTTGTCTCCCTTCTTCCAGACAGAAGTCCCTCCTGTTGGCTGGCTTAATGTAAGTCAGGAATCAAAGATGTGCGGACAACTGGGTATGTTAAAAGAACTGAAAACAGCGCTCAAACACAGACTTGTATACACGTTCACAGCAGTGGCATCTACAATCGACGACTGGTAGAAAACAACCCAAGTGTCTGTCAACTGATGAACGGGCCAACAGATACTCCTCTGTCCATGGGGTTCTCCAGGCAAGATACTGGAGTGGGTTGCCATTCCCTTCTCCAGGGGATCTTACTCACCAAGGGATTGAACCTGGGTCTTCCGCACTGCAGGCGGGATTCTTTACCATCTGAGCCACTGGGGAAGCCCATGTGTATCCATAAAAAAGAAATATTCGGTCATCCAGAGGAATAAAATATTGATATACATGACAACACAGATGACCCTTGAAATGATGCCATGTGAAATAAGCCAGCCACAAAGGGCCACATACTGTACGATCCTATTTACATGAAACATCCAGAATAGAAAAATCGTTAGAGACAGAAAGCAGAGGACTGGTTGCCAGGGGCTGGGGGGAGCGGAAAACAGGTACAGGGACTCCTTTTTGGGCGTGATGAGAATGTTCTGGAAGACAGTGGTGATGGCTGCACAAAACTGAGAATGCATAATGTGTCACTGATGATAAATTTTACGTTAGGTTTATTTTTTCTTTTAATTGGAGTATACTTGCATTACAGAGTTGTGTTTCTGCAGTACACCGAAGTGAACCAGCTATACGTATACATACATTTCCTCCCTCTGGGACCTCCCTCCAACCCAAGTCCACCGCTCTAGGTCATCACAGAGCACCCAGCTTTATCCAGGTGGCGCTAGCGGTAAAGAACCCGCCTGCCAATACAAGAGACACAGGCTTGATTCCTCGGTCGGGAAGATCCCCTGGAGGAGGGCATGGCAACCCACCCCAGCATTCTTGCCTGGAGAATTCCATGGACAGAGGAGCCTGGTGGGCTATGGTCCATAGCAAACAGTCGGACATGACTGAATCGACTTAGCACGCATGCACACAGGTACAGGTGTATTTTAACACACACGCACACACAGTTGCACACACACACGCGCACACACACACACACACACACACACACAGTTGGCACCACCTGCAGGCCCTCATCTAAGAGGCCCAAACCACCATCATCTTCCTTCTTGTGGTTGTGGAGGGCCAGGCCTCCTGGGAGAGCTGCCCCAGAGCAATCAAGAGGATTCAGCATGAGGAACTACCCAGTAATTAAGGTCTCTGCCAAACCTATACTTCTAATTAGTTTCCTTCCAACTTAAATCCTCCCTTCCCTTCCCTTCCCTAGTCCTGTGGCTTATCCCCTTCCATTTCAGCAGCTTTTTCCCATGGGAATAGGAACTAGAAGCAGGGGTGAACAGTGAGGTTGGGGGCCACACCTACAATGAGGATGATCAGAAGTGGGAATCAGGGGAGACGAAACCAGTTTCCTCCGACTCAGAAACTGTTAACCTCATGCACAGCACACCTTTGTGGGAATCAGAAAATATTGCCTCTTCTCTACATGGGCTGGGCACCTGAGTGCATGGCTGGGTTTGGCCTCCCTTGACCTCACCTCCTCCCAATCTGGGCCCCCTTGTTCAGTAGAACCTGCTCAACTGTATATGACAGCCCATCCTCTGAGAATGTAAAGAAAATTCTAGCTCTTCTGCCCCCCACCCTTCAAATGGAGACATGTGTCTACCTACTCACTCACCCTATTTCCAATGGAACATGTAGAGATTCCAGACAACTTCAGAAGCCCAGTCTAGAAGGTTCTCAAGAAACATCTGAGCTCGGACCCCATTAGCAATCACCGATAATGATTTCCACTGCCTACCAAATGTTTACCGTGCACCAAGGCCTGGGCCAGGTGCCTCACACACTCATCTTTAATTGTCACCGCAAGCCTGCTGCAGAGATGCCATTTTCTTCCCCCATTTTAAAAGGAGGAATCCAAGACTCAGAGAGTTTAATATCTCACCCAAAGCTGCACAGCTAATTAACTGGTGAAACCAAACTTTAAAATATTAGCTTTGTTCAAGAGATTTC